GCCTGGGGTTGGTATGGACCCGCCCCAACTGGCACTCTTAGAGGTTCCTTAGACCTACCTCCAAGAATTAATTTAAAGTATTTTTTTCATAAAATGTATTAATTTTTAGGGAAGTGATAAGAGGAATGGCAGTAAAAAACATCCTTTTTAGTAAAGCAAAAACAAGGGGATTGTCGTCATGAATACATTACCATTTTATGGTTTTAAAATTGGAAAGAACTAGATTAATGTTTTGCCTAATAGTTTGAAACCTGGTCTAACACTGGGTGTTTAGTAAGACCTCTTTCTTTACTATGTAGGCCGACATGGACCAAACCAGACGGTCTGATTGCTTGGACCTGAACCGGCAGCCAAAACAACTTTTGAGGTGCCCTTTTATTAGATATGTCAACCTTGTTAAAAAAAACTCTAACACATGTATTAGGCAGTGTTAGGTATCATTGCCAATTGCCATGAGAACATTTTGTATGAATATGTCTTGAAAATTGGGACAAACATTTTTTTTTCACTTTATCACAATTAGGCGCCACTAAGTATCACATATGCCAAACAATAGAAAACTCCTTACAATCGGAGAAAAAATGAGGCAGCCACTTTCCTTAACCAAACAAAAAAATGAGGCATCATTGCAAGAAATGCCTACTAATTGGCGCCATTTTTTTGATAAATGGAAATGGTGCCAGATGAGGGCGGATTTTGCCCTCCAATGACATTATGACACGTGGCACCTCATGACAACTAGGCAGCTCGCCACCAAGCAGCTTGGCACTTCACAGGCAGCTCACCACCAAGCAGCCCGGCACTACACAGGCAGTTCGCCACCAAGCAGCTTGGCACTTCACAGGCAGCTCACCACCAAGCAGTCCGGCACTACACAGGCAGCTCGCCACAAAGCAGTTCGGCACTTCACAGGCAGCTCGCCACCAAGCAGCCCAACAATTCATAGTCAGCTTGCCACCAAGTAGCCCGACACTTCAAAGGTAGCTCGCCACTAGGCAGCCTGGCTCCTTACGGGCAGCTCACTTCCTAGTCAGACCGACCACCGCATGAAAACTCTGAGGAGCTCGCCACCGTACCCCACATTTTACGGGATTATGACTTGTAACGGCTAGTATTAGCTCACCCACTCCCCGATTTAGGCGGAAATGGGCAACCTTACCGGTTGGTGACGTTATCCCCAACTAACACGGAAACAGATCCCATCACAGCTAACTTAGCCATCGGAGTGACCTCACCGGGTAAACACCCCCGGGTTCTCTGATTCAATTCTTGCAGATCAACCASGTCCACCATCTACAAAGATGAGTAGATCATCTCCTACAGGGAGTAGCCGGGTTGCGCTACACTAGGCAGCTCCACTTCGGCCTTTGAGTCATCTACCACTTGGGAGCAAACCAAATGACGAGGTACTTAGCCAAAAAAACTGATATGTGACCAAAAAGCGGAACATCATTTGGCGCCGTTTGTGGGGACTGCTACTAAAAAAAAGCTCGTCTCCATTCAAAAATCTCAAGCTCAGAATCAAATCCATGGCTTCCTCCAGCAACGCCAGACAAAACAACGAAGTGAACGTCTCTGAAGGGCAACCTCAATTTCCGTCTGTCTGCATAGGTCAGTTCACCATACCGCTTACTGCGGCTGGGGTCCCAACGCTGACGATGCCCCAAGCGATTGTACAAGTGAACGCGCCACTCCCTCCTGTAGTCAGCGCGACGTTCACTGAACCCTCTGTGGTTCAGTGGGAAACACTACAAAAAGTTAAGTTCTCATCCTCAAAACGGATAAGTCCTCTTCTTATAGAAAGCTAAGTCCTCACTTTTTAGAAACTAATGCTCTCACTTTATAGTTTCCATTTTTTATGAACTCAAAGACTGTAGGAAGTTGATAGCTAATAGATTAAACAGCTCTACCAACTTTACTTTCAATTCGCGAGGTCCCCTCTACAAAGATGACCTCTTCGTGGCTTCCACGGGAGTTGGCGGCCAATAGACTATATGGGCGCCCTTGCTGGTCGAGCCTTCCAAGGCTCCCATGCGAGCTGGCGACCTCAAGTTAGTAGTGCTGCCCACGAAGGCTGAGCTCCTAGTAGCTTCTTGTAGGAGTGGGTGACCGGCATCACGAGGCTGATGCAGTGCAATCATAGCTCTAAGGCGCCCACCCGGCGGCCTGGCGCGGCCTGGCATGGCTTGGCGCGGCCTGGCGACCTGTGCATGGCCTGGCAACCTGCATGCGGCCCGACGGCCTGTGCACGGCCTGGCGGCCTGGGCAGCCTGGCACATGCGCCGACCTGGCGGCCTGGCCCAGGCGCGAACTGACGAATTGATAAAAGACTTCCTCATCACATAAGACCCAATCGCCTCTTCGGCATGGGAAAAATCAAGGAGAGTGGACTATAAGTCGCTCCTAGAGCCTAAGGGCTAAAATACCACATAAGATCTAGTTGCCTTTTCGGCATGGGCAAAATCCAGGAGAGTGGATTACGAGTCGCTCCCAGAGCCTAAGGGCTAAAATACCACATAAGACCCAGTCGCATCTTCGGCATGGGCAAAATTAACGAGAGTGGACTATAACTCACTCCCAAAGCCTAAGGGCTAAAGTACCGAACTGGCAGAGACTTCGGCACCACATAAGACCCAGTTGCCTCTTTGGCATGGGCAAAATCTAGGAGTGGACTGCGAATCGCTCCCAGAGTCTAAGAAATTGAATCAGTGCTTACGAGCTCGTCGAATTCCAGGCCAAAAGGAGAAATCTACTCCCTTCATTGAGTTACTTTCAGCTCGGCAGTGGGGGGCAAATGATGAGGGCGGATTTGGCCCTCCAATGACATTATGACATGTGGCACCTCATGACAACTAGGCAGCTCGCCACCAAGCAGCCCGACACTTCATAGGCAGCTCGCCACTAAGCAGCCTGACACTTCCCAGGCAGCTCGCCACCAAGCAGCCCGACACTTCACAGGCAGCTCGCCACTAGTCAGCTCACCACCAGTCTGCTCTCTAGCTCTCTCATTTCCTAATATTATTTTCAGCTCACAACTAAGTGCTAACTTAGCCATCGGAGTGACCTCACCGGGTAAACAACCTCGGGTTCTCTGATTCAATTCTTGCAGATCAACCATGTCCGCCGTCTAAAAAGATGAGCAGATCATCTCCTGTAGGGAGTAGTCGGGTTGCGCTACATTAGGCAGCTCCACTTCGGCCTTTGAGTCATCAACCACTTGGGAACAGACCAAATGAATAGGTACTTAGCCAAAAAAACTGATACGTGACCAAAAAGTGGAACATCAGTACCAAACACTGCTTAATAAATGTTAGGGTAAATTAGAAGACCCTCTGTACTATGGGGTCAGTGACAAATACCCCCTAAACTTGCGACAAATATTCCCTCAGTTAGAGTTCTGTTGGTTAATTTCGAAAAAAATCTTCATTCAGCTGTTTAAAATTTTTTATATCCTCAAATTACCATTTTCTTTTTTTGAAATATTTATGATTCCATTAGTTTTTCTAAATATAATATCGAAGTACTCTCGGTTGTCCCAATAGATCCTTGTAGATTTCATGCTGGATTCAATATTCAAATAAAATGGTAGAGGATTTTTTATGATGAATATAAATTTATGGTTTCATTTGGCTTTTTTTTTATTTATTGGAAAAAGGAGTGGATTATTTTTATATTTTCAGATTAAGAGAAAAGGGTGAGGAAAAGAAAATAAAGAAGGTTCAGGTGGGCATTATGATAATTTAACACATTCAGTCATCAGATTTAAGGTTCAGGGGTATTTGTCGCAGAGTAAAAGATTGGGGGGTCTCTGTTTTAAATGAAAGTTCAGGAAGGTATTGTTGCATCCTTGTTCACACAAGATGTGAGTTCGCTATTGATTTAAGCCTATTTTAAACTTTTGATGCAAATTAACTTTAGAAAAATAATCTGTAACCATTTGCATTCTTTTTTCTTTTTACATTTTTAATTTGAGTGAATCAAATGGCAGTTGAACCATTCAACCCATGTCCTAGTGCCCAATATTTAGATCCTGGTCCAAGTCTAAGGGTCAATTTGGTTTGCAGTCAGAATTGGAATGGAAATCCTTCAGAATCAGAATTGGAATGGTCTATTCCCATAAACTGTTCAGATAAGAATGGGAATAGGAATTTGAATCAGCAAGAATGAGATTTCATTCTCAAGGGAGGAATAAGGAATGGCCATTCCCTCAAATGGAAGAATGCCATTCCAATAGGAATGGGAATGAAATTCTGATTCCGCCTAACCAAATGGTTGAATTCGGATTCCAGACCCCTATTCCCACTAACCAAATGGGGCCGAAGAAAAGATCCCGAATCTGTTGTGAACACTGAAGCCAAAATAAACATTACTTTTGGATTAAAATAACCAATTGCTATTACCAGCACAATTGCATAAGTGGTCAAGTTACAACTCAAATTGAATGAAATTACTAAGAAAGCTTACAATGCAATAACATTATAGCTTAAATTGATTAGACTTGCCATCCAAACTCTATTTACCATAGTTTTGAAAACTGGATCGGACTGGATGATCAGACTGGTTGACCCAGGAACCGGTCAGGTAACTAGTTCTGTTTCACCCTAAAACCACTCCTGAACTAAACAACCATTGATTTGGTTAGTGACCCGCTGACCTGGACAATTAAACCGTCGACCCATCGATCTGGACAATGGTTTCTTGCCCTTTTTATTTCAATTTTTATTTTTTTAAATCAGAATGGGCCATCCATTTCAATTAAACGGTCGGACTGGTTTTTAAAACCTTGATATAAGGTCAAAAAGGAAAACTAATTATTAGATAAAAGATTAATCCTCTTCATTTTAAAGGGTTGTTACGATTATGATCAGGGTAGGGAATATAATTCTTTTTTTGGCATGGCAGGGAATATAATTGATACTTAATAAACCTAAATACAATGTTGAATTAAAGGCCGTCGTTGGCCCGGATTAATTACACATGGAGCAAATTTACGGTAAGAATTTAGAGAACAATAAGAATATGACATTGAATTACGTATCCACATTCTCTGTAAGTACACGATATTTTGTTGTAAAAATACAAAAATTCCAACATTTCTCAAACCTAAATCCATTCAGGAACATAGTTAATGAAGTTCATGAGACATGTTACAGGAATTATTCTGAGCTCTAACAGGGATTTGATTGCTGCTGTCTCTAAGGGAGTGCTGAGTTGAGACCCTCTTGAAAGGACAATGGGAAGGACGGATATCTCTTGATAGATGGCTTTCTCTTGAATGAAGGCCTCCTCTTAAGCTGTCGGAGTGTCCTCTTGGCATAAAGGGTGTGGAACAATGGCGATGCTCTCTCTTTCAGCTTTAGTACGACGAAGAAGAGTATCCTGTAGCATACGAGAATGACCATGACAGCAGTCAAGTCCCACCACTTGGAGTGATCCAGCGGAATCCCAAACATTGTCCGGATGATTACATCTCCCTTCAGTTTAGGATCACCAGGTACCAGAGGATCAAACTCGAGCCCCAGCAAATCGTTCTTGTATGAGCCCTACATTTGGATTATAAAGACAAATCTAATTTGCAGAACTAAATTGTGATTAGAATTCATGATTGATGAACTGGGTTTATTGAAGAATTGAATTGATTCCATTGTAATTAAGTAGAACTGATTTGATTTACTCTTTTGGGGAAAGTTGGTAATTAATGGGATCTGGGTTTTAGTTGACCAAAAAAATTCATGTCCTTTTTTCAGATTAATGTAGAGATCAGGGAAAGTATACTTTTTAGGTAAGTGATACCTGTCTCCCATGCACGTAAATAATTTTCTCTCTCAAGAGAAATTTGTCAATACTTGGATGTGACAAAAATTCTCCCTTAATAATAGATTTTTGGGAGAAGTACAAATCAGCCAGATCAGAATTCTCTAGCCCCAAAGTACAGGGGGAATGCATCCTGACTGTGAATTGATGCCAAATTCACAGGCAGGATGTGGTTTATAGGGGGGCAGAGGGCTAGTAGTAGGGGGGCTGGAATTCAGAATTGTGCATCGTGTGTTTTTGTACTTCTCGGTAGATTTTTATGACCAAAGTAGACATCTTATTTATCTGGGAAATGAAAGAATACTGGTAAATGCATTTATTTGGATAAATAACTTACCGAAAAGCAAACAGGGCCTTGCTTTAGAATATAAAACAAGCTCAGTATATCAAATTATATCCCAAATGTAGAACTTAGGGCCCATTTGGTTCATAGGAATGGAGGTCTGGAATCGGATTCCAATTGCTTGGTTGGACAGAATTGGAATCTCATTCCCATTCCTGGTGAAATGGCATTCTCCCATTTGAGGGAGTGGCCATTCCGATTCTAACTGTTTCATTGGACAGAATTGAAATCCAATTCCCATTCCGATTCCTGTCTGAACCAAACAGACTATGGAAATAGATCATTCCAATTCCCACAGTGAACCAATCTGACCCTTAGTTAATGGAAAATATGAATAAAACCAGTTCCAGAGTTAATTACCTGTAACGCCCATGCCCCATAATTGATATACGAAATTGGATAGCGCCAGAAGGCTCTGGGCAGATCAGGCAGCATTCGGAAGAACCCAGAAGTCATCATCATGATTCCCTGAGTACACAAGCGCCCGTTGGATATAAAATCTGTTATGGTGATTGTTGAGTGAATACAATAACAGAAAGTTTTGTTTTAGGGAGGCTATGGTAGTAGTTTCTTACAATAATTCCTGCCCCAGTGATGATGCCCATGAGAAAATTGGGTACCAGAGCTGCAACAACCATCATGCAGCTTTCTACAACAGCAATGCAGCCAAAAAGATTAATACAGTAAAACACATAATGAGAGAACCCTGAGTGTAGTTTCACCATGTAATATGTTATGGTTGCAGCCACCASAGACACAGCAACCAAGAAAGGGAAAGAGGAGAAGAAGTTGGATAGGATGAACACTGCATTGCCGTAATGCCCATTGAGCCTCTCTCGAGAAAAGACCTGTTTCAAAAGAAGAGACTTCGACAGCTCAATAAAACAGAACTAGACCAAATTTCTTGAGATGGGTTCATCTCATTAAAGATTACTACCTTCATTTCTTCAATAAAAGATGGGAAGCTCCCTATGGACATGAATGTCATGAAGCCAGATACAAACCCACCACATGCTCCTCTCGCCAAGATTGAGCTATAGCTAGTGCCAACGTCAAAATAGATGGTGCCAACACACAGAGATACCATTATGTAGACTATTATCCTTAGCCAGTAGTACCCAATATCTCTGTACATGTTTACAAAAGACCTCCTTGTCAATGTGGCCAGTTGTTTCCACCAGGTGGCCTCGCTTCCACTGTTTGATCCAGTGGGAAGTCCTTTCTGCATTGACAGAAGATTAATCAGTAGCAGTTCATCAGAAACTTTTTCTTTTTGGGGTTGAAGGGTAGAGGGTGGATCAATCTGTTTGCTCGAGTTTGAAATTCTTACAACGTTTGCGAGTTCTCGAATCCGTCTTCTTGTATGTGTTGCATACTCTGATGTCCTATATTTTTCAACGAGGATTTCTTTTATCCTTGTAGCTGCCAAATTCATTAGAGGATCTGATGCTACTTGAATTTCCTGTAAACAAAACAGAATAGGCTCAAATTCTGGAGGCCATACCAATGCATCACAGAGATTTAATGGAATTTGTATCACATACTCGACGAATCCTCTGAGATCCCTTTAGAGTTGCATGTACAAGGTCGAAATCTCGATTGATACATCGAAGAAAGTGATCAGAAGGGTTTCTTCTATTAGGACAAGGGAATCCAGCTTGAGCGAAAAACTGTATCAAGAGTTACTGAATAATATATTAGATTATCATTGTATTGTTCTTTTTAAGTTCTCTGATGGGTTATTTCATTATTTCCTAATTACCTCCACAGCTTTCTTAGCGTCTCCAAAGTAAACAGCTTCTCCACTGGAGAGGAGAAACAAATCGTCGAACAGATCAAACACTTCACTACTTGGCTGGTGTATAGAGCAGATTACAGTCCTCCAATCTCGAGCAGTAGTTCGTAAAGCTTGAATAACAAAGAAAGCTGATGCACTATCAAGCCCAGTGGTGGGTTCATCGAGAAACAAGAGACGAGGACGTGTGAGAATCTCCAGTGCAATGCTAACCCTCTTCTTCTCTCCACCGCTGATTCCCCTTAGATGCCAGTTCCCTATCAATTTGTCTGCACAATCTTGAAGACCCATCTCCAAGATTGTGCCTTCAACCACCTCATCTATCTCTTCTTTGCTCAAAGTAGTGGGAAGTCTGAGATGAGCAGAGTAAGAGATAGTTTCTCTAACTGTGAGCGTTCCCAACAGAACATCCTCTTGGGTTACATAAGCCTGATGAAAATTTGAACAGAGATATTCATGGGTATGAAATGATGAACTAGTAATAAGAAAGAATATATACATACAAGAGAAAATAGACTGCTACTTACAACAACTCCAAAGTCTAGTCTCTTCTTCCCATTGATGAGAACATTCCCAGTCATGATAGCATTTCCAGAAAGCCTACCTGTTAAGGGATCAAAGGTCAGTGATTTTCGAGGTAAAGTAGGCCTCTTGTATATTTAGGTACATGTTAATACATGTGTGAATAAATTCTTTAAGCTTAGTTTGTTTGCCGTGCGAATTTCATTTGAATTGGTCTGAATGCATGCGAGTGCAAATTGGCTGAGTTTTAATTCTGGTTTACTTTTTCTTCATATTTGACTTTGTCTTGTTTGTTTGTGAGAAGTAAGATAGGAAGCAAAATAGTCTCCTGTTTTTTGGGATTGAGGTAAGAATGAGGATTATGCTGTTAGTCTCCTGTTTTTTGGGATTGAGGTAAGAATCAGGATTATGCTGTTCCCACTTTATATGAGAGAGAATTGAAGTGGAAAGAAGGTGATGTAAATTTTGCATCAGTCTTAGATGTAAAACATGCACTGACTGTTGGTGCAAATGAGACAAAGTACAAATTTTGTATCAGGAGAGACTGCAAATCATGATTACAAACAAACAAATGCAAAGCTGAACCAGGTTCAAAATTTGTATCTGGTTAGATTTGTGTCAAAACAAACAGAGCCTTAAGAAAAAGGTATTTTTATAGTTCACTCCACCCTAGAGCTAAGATTTCTAGGGGTGGATTGAATTCTGCCCGTGGATTGATGCCAAATTCACGGGCGGGATGCGGTTTATAGGGGGGGGCTACTAGTAGATTAGGAGGGGACTGCAATTTCAGATTTCTGAGATGGATTGCAATCCACTTATCCCTAAGAAAAATCATTTTGGCTTTTTCTTTTTTGACAAATTCCAAAAACCCCCTTAACTATGGGCTCAGTGACAATTACCCCCTTGAACTTTCATTTGTGATAAAAACCCCTTAAACTTTTACTTTGTGTTGAACACCCCTTCTATTAGATAACTTGCTCTAATAGACCCTTGTAGATTTCTTGCTGAATTCAATATTCAGATGAAATGGTAGAGGTTTCTTTTTGATAATAAATTTAAGATTTCGTTTGGTTTTTCTGTGGTTGATTGGAGAAAGGAATGAGTAATTTTATATTTTAAGATGAAGAGAGACATTTATATAAGTGAAATGAAAGAATTTAAAGAAACTTGTTTTTCTATGTTAGTGAAATGAATCTTGTTATTTTAGTTGGTTTCATTTGGAGAGAAATGGAGGTATTTTTGGGTTAATTAGGGTTTAACAAAAAAAGGGCAAAGTAAAGAAATAAGGAAAATTGAGGTGGATATTTTAGTAATTTAATACATCCATCGTATAACTTAATAGCTAGGGAGTAATTGTCACAAAGTGAAAGTTCAAAGGGGATCTTTGAACTACCATGTTTCCACCACAAACCAATATGAAATTTTGCCTTCGCTTTGTCTCAACTTAATTCGGAGTAGGTTGCAACAAAGAATTCAAGCCACAACTATAATGTATTATGCTTTTAAACCAAAAATTGACTCACTTAAACCATCCATTATCTTTATTTTCTGGAAAACCAAATATCCTTAATTTTGCAATAAGCTTCATGACTAAGGCTTTGTTTGTTGCAGCACAAATCTGAATCAGTTGAATCCAGATAAGTTCTAGAGAATTTTTGACAACCTTATTTGATAAGATTTTTTTCATATTATTGATCAGAGTGTATCTTGTTTGGTTATTGTTATAATTAGTATATCGAGGAGAGGTTATTGTCTTTTGATGTTTCCATCCTTTAGTTGAATCCAGAGAAGTTGTAACCCCATTATTTAAATTGATAGTGTAAGTTTGGGCTATGGTCCCATGGTTTTTACCTTCACATTGTCTCTTGTTGTTTTTGATATTTTGTCTCATTGGACTTTGTTCTTTATCTCGCCTTTAGATTTATCATTATTGATTTGCATACCCCAAGTGGTAATTAGAGTTTTGTTTAATGTATTTTGGGTGTAAATCATGGATGTTGGTACAAGTCATATAACTATGTCTAGAAAAAAAAAATAGACTATTTTGAAACCAAAAAATGAAAGATCTATTCTATTGTAGGGACTTACATGGATTTATTGAATGAAAAGAAATCAAATCAAATCAAAAGAAATGTCCATTGAGGAATGCAAGAAACTTGATCAAAATTTATAAGTCTTCAAGAAATGAATTGAAGATAGCATTTTCCATCACATTTACATAGAAACTTTAATAAACTCTTTAGAAAAGTTGAATCTTTTGCATAAAAAAAATAGGTAGTAAGGCTTTCTTGATTAGGAAGCTTGTGAATTTGAAGTTTAAGGAAGGTATTTCAATTGTTGAACATTTGAATAAAATGCAAAACATTGTGAAATTATGAAGGTGTACTTATTAATTACTTCTAGGTGCCCTGTACTCAATCCTAAGAAAACGGGTTTTGATTATTAAGATGTGGTTTCTTGAAAGAAAGAACTATGTGTATCTTGAGAGCAGTGCATCTACCCGCATATTGGGAATATCTCCCCATAATTTAATGTACAAGTACATGAAACATTTCCAATCTGAGCCTAACCAAATTTCTATTCAATGCCATGTATTTTCTTGGACTTGCTTGCTAGTTACCAAATAATTAAAAAGGTCTAGCAATGTGTTTGAATAAATAATTAAACCACTTTACCAAGAAGAGGAAAAAAAAAAAAACTAGAGTTCAACTATGATACCTGAAACATATAACCAATCAATCTATATGTCATGATAAGGTCACCAATCAGGTGTCATTCATCAAAAATGAGGGTTTTACTTGTTTATTTATTTTTGGGTAAATTATAGTTAAGTACCCTGTACTTTAGTGAGAGTGATAGATAGGTATCCTGAACTTTACGTTTGAGTACCTTGAATTCCTACAAATCAACTCCATAATCCAACCATCAGTGTTCTCTTAAATATCTGAAGTCATGTGCAACTTTAAACATTTCAAACTCCAAAAACTACCCTTTTGTGTTTTTTAGACCATTTTGTCTTTCTTGGAGTGTATGGAACTGTAAATTGTAAATCTGTTCTCCCTATTTTCATTCTCAAGTTTGAACTACAACATACATGGATCAATCAACAAAGAAGAGAAGGTTTTCATTCTCAGTAGATTTGATTTTTCTTAGGGTAAATTACATATAGGTACTCTATACTTTGGGGATAGTGACAAATAGGTACCCCCTGACCTTTCAAGTGCAACATTTGAGTACTCTAAACTCAAATAGACACCCTAGTTTATTTTGAAATCCTTATTTTTCTTCTAAGATTCTGTTCTCAGCCTTGAGCAAAAGAAACATGGATCAATCAATAATGAAGGAAAAGGGTTTCATACTTGGGTTTGATTTTCTATTATGAGATCTTCGTTCCCGAGTTCTTATTTTTTAAATACTTATTTTTCTTGTCAGCTTTCATTCACAGTTTTATTATCAGGTTTGACTATTACAAATCATTCCTATGTAAGAGAAGTGTCATCTAACTAGGTTTTAGGTACTCAAGTGTCATCTAACTAAGTAGCTATCTGTCTCTACTCCCAAAGTATATCTTACCTATCTATAATTTACCCTTTTTTTCGGTAAGTCAAGGATGATTTTTAGGAATAGCGACAAGGCAGGGTGAGGCTGGGTTTGCATGCTTCATTCCCATGGGAATGGGGATCCCTTAATTTGCCTTGCCCAACCCCATCATTCCTACATGCAAATCTATTTTTTCAATTTTGTTGAAACCTACGTAGAATTATTGTAAGTATTATGTTCTGTAATATAACATAAGATAAAAGTTCTATATATATATATATAGTCCATACTTTTGGTCGGGGTTAGGACTGGATGGACACATACCATCCTTGGTCACCTAAGTTTCAGATTTCCCCAACATCCACCTAAAATCCGATCACTGGTCAATAATCCGACCCCAACTAGGTAGGGCAGGTTGGAGCATGAATCATGACGAGTGAAATTGTCATATGGGTTCAAGGAGTGTTTTATAAATTAAACCGTACTTTCCTCTCTAGACTTCCCAACCCATACCGTTTCCAAAAACCATTATGGATTGAATGTTTAGAATTTAAATCTTTTCCGTATATAAAATTGCAAAACCCTATTCTCCTTGCATTTAAGGCTGAGGTGAGTTGGATGCTGGTTAGGTCTAGAATCCGTCATTTAATTTTTTATAAGTGAAATAACATGAACAAACGTCTAAATTTTTAATTATTTGATTAAACATGTAAAAAATACATAAACTACAGAAAAAAAAAAGAAAAGAACTCTCTGTTGAAGCTGATTCGGACCGATACCCGCCGGGTAGAGTAAAATTAAAGATTTGTAAAAGAAAATGAAATGTGGCTGGACGAAGATGGGCCAGCTCACATGATTACAATTGTCCGATTTAATGCACTGGAAGGTATAGTTAATGTGGTTGGATCAGGGTGGGCCCAGGAGTGACAGTCTCGTAATTATGGTGGGGTCTCTATATAAAAGAATAACGAATTGGACGGTCACGATCAATAGTATTGCCCGTACACTAAGAATTAGGTTTAAGGGAGGGACCACCGTCATAGGATTAAACCCGATGCGTCGATATACTTCATTCCCACCAACTTTCAAATTCAGTCTTATCATTTTCTCTAAAATTAATGAATACTGGCCTTTATATGAAATTCACATCGAGTGCGTCCCACAACATATCCCACCGTGCATTAGGAACATTTTCCACTAAGAATTTCAGAAGATGTTCTCAATGTACGCTGAGATATGAGGTATTTGTCGGGCATAGATATTATCTCCTTTATATGACTAAATCGAACTTTTTTCCAAATTTGTCCCAAACACCAAGCATGTTGAATATATAAATGGTATGAAGTGAACACTCGAATTAGTGTGACGTGTAATTGTCTACATTAACAGGTGTCCCTTCGGATAAAAGGGTTTCAAACTAAGGTCATGGGAGGGGATGAGTTCAATCCTCTACAGTCTTACTCGTAAAATCGGTTCTCTTATGAGGCTCGATTCCAATATTGGAACCAGATAACTGAACTTACCCATTGATAAGAGAAAAGGGTAAGTTTTGAAGTTTCATTGTCTCGTTGGCTTTACGCAGTATAATTCCGATTGAACTGGTGCAAAAGTACCGGAATACAAATGAATTGAAATTAGATTTTTCTTTCGGAGTTGGTTTGTATTGTTTTGTTTGATGTGCAGATGAAGCAAAAGAGAGATGAAATAAAAATAACGTAAAACAAAACCAAAAATAAACTAGAATTTGCATTCTTTCAATCATATCATTTGAATTCTTATAATTGTATCAATGTAAATGAAATTGCACTGTAAATAAATGGATTTGGAACCTAGATCTGTGTTTGGTTGCAGTATAATTTTATTTGCATTAATATAAATGCATAGGAGTTTAAATGCAAATTCTGGTTTAATTTTATTTTCACTTTCACTTTATTCTGCTTGAAGTCTTATTTTACTTTATTTTCATTTATACTGCAATCAAACGAAATAAGATAAATTTTAAAATAAAAATAAATTATAAATTCGTATTGCAACCAAACACAGCAAAAAAAGGCGATTAGATTATACGTTCATGAGAGCTGAGAGGGAGAAGCTAGCTTACCTGATAAAGAGTCAAGTAGTGTGGATTTGCCAGACCCGGATGGACCCATGATGGCCATGATTCGACCGGGTTCAGCGTAACCACTGAGGCCTTGGAGCAATCTCCTTGTTGGTCCTTTGCCAAAGTTGGGTAACACCACCGTTAGATCCTCCCATACCAAATACGTCCCGATGTCATCTCTGCTGCTCGAAGAGCCCATCTCCGATAAGTTGCCGATTGTGCTTGACACCTCAATCTCCATTTCTGACTCTTGACCGGCGCCACCTCCACTGTCGCTGCTGCCACCGCCACCGCCAGGTCCGCCACCACTAGACCCACCTGAATTTTAGAACTCTAGCTAGCTAGTCCGAGGATTGATAAACAAAGAGAAGATGACAAAGAGTTTTCTCAACTACCAAGAGTTAATGCGTTTGATCGATTAAGCAACGCCTCTACCGACGACTCTGCATGCTATTATTGTGGCAGCAATGGAAGTTACAAATTTGTGGTGGATGCTTTGACGTGTTATCATTTTGCATCAGAACAATAATTAATGTAGAGGCTTTCACGTGATTTACAGAAACTACGAGTGACGAGTAACGACTAATGAGTAATGACTGATGGCGGTTGTGGGCTTGTAGTGGATCAACTATAAGCCATGTACCGTGTAGGAGGCTATGAAATGGACCAACCCAGGCCCAATTCCAATTTCATCTCATATATATTGAAAGGTGGGCCGGTCTAACAGCTTGAGTTAGTATGCTTGGGCTTTGAACTAAATTGGGCCCATTTGTGTTCAAGGTCCCGATGGAGGAGTTGGGTCTAGATTGGACTTGGATCCAGCCCCATCAATGCTGGTGGGGGTTTCGGATTGGGGAGATGAGCTAATACTACCCCCGTTGTAGGAGCCCGGATCTCCTGTACTWTTCAAGCGTATTATGAAGTTCGTACTAGTCTGGATTAGTGTTTTCAATTCGCCGATCAGTTTTTTTAATTTGCCGTTTATCCAGTCGGTTGGATCATTCAAACTGTATCTCGGCTTCGATTTTGGGTGTAGTTCTGTTGAAATTTGAAATCTGCCTTTTGGTAAAAAAATGTTGATTTGGTAAAAAATTGTTTGATTTGGGTAATTCAAACATTGATCTTTCGGCCTAGTCACCAAGTCGTAGGTAGGGGTGCAACTTGAGCAGACTCAACCCGACCCAGAATTTTACATAGGCTGGGTATGGATTTTCGATCCTCTGCCCCCTATAAAGCACATCCTGCCCGTGAATTTGGCATCAATTCACGGTCTGCATTCCCCCTATACTTTGGGCCTAGTAAATTCTGAGCGGGGCTGATCGGTACTTCTCCCAAATTAATCTGTTATTGGGATCAGTGGGTGCAAAGAGGATTCCAGGCCTAATACAGTAATACATGAATGAGAAACATCAAGGAATCTGTGCAACTTTGCATGGCCCCATATAAATCAATCAGTCTCGAAGAAACATACACATTGACTAATTCAGGCACCAACTCTCAAGCCAGAAATTTCATCTCTATTTTAATTGTACCGTAGACCTGCTGCTTTCGACTTCTTGTTTGTCTCTAGCAGATCCTGGACGTGGCTTATTCAAAGATTAGGTCAAGTCTTCTTTCTAGAAGAATTGAGCCTTCCACAAAGTCTTGTTTTAGCAGGAAGACGAAAATGTCATCTTTGATCAGGCAGAAATTTATTAGAGAAGGTTGCAATTTATGATAAGAATAAACATTGGTCACGGGTTTGACCAACCCTCACCGAGAGGAGAAGAGAATGGCTCTGCGTCTCGTGCTCTGGTTCTTTTTCTCTTCATTAACGATACTGTTATTATGGCTTACAGAAGCACCGGCCGTAGAAGCAACACCCTTGGCGAAGCCTGGGTGCCAAGACAGATGTGGGGATGTCAGTATTCCCTTCCCCTTCGGCATTGGAGACCGATGTTCCAAACGCAAACAATTTGAGATAACTTGTGATCGATCTTCTAGCCATCCCACACCTTTCCTGAGCTTAAGCACTGGTCGCTTCCAAGTTCTGAACATATCGATGAATGGAGAACTGCGTATCAACGTCCCAACATTCTCGAGCCCCAACGAGACAGAAGTCCATGGACGCATCAGTTTAGAAGGAAGCCCATTTTTCTTCTCACAAAGCGGCAACGTCTTTGTGGCAGTCGGCTGCAACAACCGTGCCTTCGTCCATAACCATCACGACAACAGTACGGTAGGCTGCATCTCGACTTGCTCAGGCAGAGACGTCAAAAAGAAAGGTTGTTGCGGCATCAGCTGTTGCCAGACCCCGATTCCGTGGTCGCTGCAGACCGTAGATGTGACCATCACTAGTGCAGGTATCTGCAACGAAATACTGGGGTGCAAGTCAGCTTTCGTGGTCGACCAGCAGTGGTTCGTCGTCAACTTACCAAACCCTTACGATGTCAGGAATATGACAGAGGTTCCGGTGGTGCTAGATTGGTGGTCAGATTGTGGCCCCAATTCCTACCCTATAAGTTTGTCCTCTTTGAGGAATACTTGCATTTGTAAGTATCCTTTTGAAGGGAATCCCTACCTTCCCCATGGCTGCCAAGGTACAATTTATTTGCTTGTTCATACATACACAGTTTCAATATTCATTTGTTAAGGATTAATTTATGTTTGAAGTATTGATGAACTGAGCAACTTTAATTGGTTTATGAATCATGTCAGGATGCAAGGTTGGACATCGTTGCGAAAAGGGAAAAGGGTATTTGGTGAAAGCGATCAGCCTAGGTAAGATTCCTTGGTCATGGATTCTTCTCATGGGAATAGCATTATTAGTAGGACTTGGGACAAATGGTAAGGYTGTCTTTGGTTGCAATACAAATTTGGTTGACTGTCTTATTATTTGTTTCTGAGATTTTAAATGAAAAGTCAGTCCCGATTTCCTACCAACTTCCCTCTACCCCCCTCTCTACTAGCCCATTAAAATTAGGGAGAAGTACCGATCAGCCCAGCTCAAAATTTACTAGGCCCAAAGTACAGGGGGAATGCATCTAATGTCAAATTCACGGGCAGTATGTGGTTTATAGGGGGGAGAGGGCTAATTGTAGAGGGGGGCTGGAATTCAGAATTCTGCATCGTGTGTATCCGTACTTCTCCCTTAAAATTATTCCAGCTGTCACCAAGTCCTATATAGTGTAACGATTGACTAATGCCTTAATTAATCCCTCTGTTAGATACTATTTTAAAGAAATACCTATTTTATGCATTAATTAAATATTTTTAAAAATAAAAATATAATAATTTTGGGTGGTCTATAACTAGGGGTGCTTACGGTTCGGTTACCCTTTTTTGTGAATCGAACTGGTAGTATCGGTTTTTGGAACTAATAATTGGAACTGAATTGAAACCAGTCGGTTAACCGCTTGACCGGTTTAGTTCATCGGTTTTTTAGTTTTTTTGACTTTATAATATTTAATATAAAAATATATAACTATATGATAAAAAATTATAGATATAAATAAAATATTATATTTTAAATAATATATAATATATAATATATTATAAATATACATATATTTATATATTGCGTATTTATTAATTTATAATATATATATATATATATATAGAAAAACATGTATATTGGTCGGTTTTGTTAACCACCGATTTTTTAGAAACACTGAACCGACTAGTTTGGTTAGCCGATTTTCAGTTCAGTTTCGATTGGTTTTTTCAGTTTTTTTTGCTCACTCCTATTTGTAACTCTTTTTCTATGCATGAATTTGCTGTACTAGGCTTAGAAAAGAAATACAAATAAAAATATCTATTTCAATTATATGCAAATTTCCCATTCTCTCTTTAATTAAATGCAAGCTAATTCTCTAAGCCTTGTAAGCAAATTCATGCATCGGAAAAAGAGTTATAGACCACTCAAAATTATTATATTTTTATTCTAAAAATATTTAATTATTGGATTAATTAAGACATTAGTCAATCGTTACTTTAGATAGGACTTTGTAACAGCTGGAATAATTTTAATGGGTTAATAGAAAGGGGAGTAGAGGGAAGTTAGTAGGAAATCCAGACTGATGGAAAGTAATTAAAAATGCATCGACAATACTTTAAATGAAAAGGAATGGAGGTTGGAGAAGGATTGTTAGGGCTGCCAACGGGCTGGCCTGGGTTGGGCCCAGGACTCCTGGTAGATCCGGAACCAACCCTGCAAGAAACATTAAGGATTCAGAATTGCACCCGATAGGGTATGTAATTTTAGACCTAGAATCAAATTGTGGTTCTTGGGGCAATCAGGTCTGACCCGATGGACTCAATTATAATAAATCCTGATCCCAGTCCTATGGGGATCCTTGTTACTCTCTCTCTCTCTCTATATATATATGTATGTATGTATACATGTATGTATATTTTTAATAGGCTTATAAATTTTAACTATATTATATTTAATTCTTAAGATAAATGAAAAACAAAAACAAAATGATTGACATTATAAAAAATCACGGGGAATAGGGATCCCCGTGGGAATGAGGATGGGAACCCCGCCCTATTGCCATTCTTAATCGGGTTTGTCGGCTCCAACCCAACCCAACCCAACCCATTGAAAGCCCTAATAATTGGTATTAGAGTAAGGTAGGATGCAAGATGTTGTGGTCTCTAGTTTATGGAAAATAATTGAAGTGGGAGGAAGGTGGTACAAATTTTGCATCAGCTTTTGAGATGCAAAATTTGTAATGCCAATGAATAGAAAAAAGACAAAAAAATACAAATTTTGTATCAGATAAGAATGTAAATTATAACTAGGAACAAATAAAAGCAAATCTGAACAAAGTACAAATTTTGCACCTGATCAAAATTTGCATTGCAACCAAACGCCACCAAACACTAGTCTCATTTATTCTCATATAGTTGTTGCTTTAGCAGTATTAATAGTCACCAGTCCTAAGAATTCTTCTTTTGCACCACAAATTCCCCCACGGTTATAAAAAGTCTCCAGTTATCACTCCAATAGTTGCATTCCCGTCCCACTAAAGCATCCGGATTGATGCTGATTTTCACTACATATTTTCTTGTCATAAGTTGAGTTGGATAAAGATAAAGTTCGTTTAGAAAATGAAAACATTACTATATTATATCCTTTAAGATTGATATAATCTTTTTCATTAAGTTTCTATTTCTTTGTTTCCACTATTTGTGCAGGTGTAGGATTGGGGTTTGGACTACTATTGATGTTTATTTTTAGCTTTTGGCTATATAAAGCACTAAAGAGAAGAGAGATCAAAAAGGTCAAAAAGAACTTCTTCAAACGAAATGGTGGATTGTTGTTACAACAACAGATGTCTTCACAAGATTGTGCTCCTGAGAAAATAAATGTTTTTACTGCAGAAGAGTTAGAAAAAGCAACTGACAATTATAATAAGAATCGAATTCTTGGCCAAGGAGGTCAAGGGACAGTTTACAAAGGTATGCTATCAGATGGAAGAATTGTAGCAATTAAGAAGTCCAAAAAGGTAGATGATGACCAAAGTGAGCAATTCATCAATGAGTTTGTGATACTTTCTCAGATTAATCATAGGAATGTGGTTAGATTATTAGGTTGTTGCTTAGAGACAGAAGTTCCTATGCTAGTGTATGAGTTCATATCTGGTGGAAACCTTTTCAACTACATCCATGATCGAGATGATGGTTTATCATTTTCTTGGGATAATCGCTTAAGAATTGCCATTGAGGTTGCAGGAGCACTGGCTTACTTGCATTCAGCAGCTTCAGTACCCATTTATCATAGAGACATTAAGTCCTCAAACATACTTTTGGATGATAAGCTTAGAGCCAAACTATCAGATTTTGGGACTTCTAGGTCAATAGTAACTGATCAAACTCACTTAACCACCATGGTGAAAGGAACCTTTGGGTACTTGGACCCAGAGTACTTTCGGTCAAGCCATTATACAGACAAGAGTGATGTCTATAGTTTTGGAGTAGTTCTCATAGAGCTCTTAACAGGTGAGAAAGCAGTTTCTTCTACCAGACCCTTAGAGGAGAAAAATTTAGCTGTATATTTTATGTCTTCATTAGAAGAGAACAATCTTTTTGAAGTTCTTGACAATGAAGTTGTGAAGGATAGTGCAAAAGAGGAGCTCTGTATGGTTGCCAACCTTGCAAAGAAATGTTTGAATTTGAATGGGAAGAAAAGGCCAACAATGAGAGAAGTTGTTGTGGAGCTTGAGGGGTTAAGATTGAGGAAACAAAATTCATTAGTTCAACAAGATGATCGAGAGGTTGGGTATTTCCCAAATGAATCATCGAGCCTATGGGACACTTATTCAACTTCAAGTGAGAATAGAGATTTGGATCAGTACAGTATCACATGGCCAAGAAACAACGCATTTGCTACCATTTGACAATGCATTATTTCAGTCGCCATAAGTAGTGCAGAGGGTAGAGGACATTCATTAATTTTCTGCATGCATGATACAATTTTGGGTTGTAACTATGCAAATGTTAATAAATTCATATATTTTTGTATAGCCTTCTTGATTTACTTTAATGTTTAATTTATTGTTCTATGTATGTATCAAATTCATAAATTTCTTATGTGAAATTACTGATATGTAGACTTTCTTTAATTTGACGTAGAAAGTTTCTATGAACTGTGACTTGTTCAAACCAACGTAATAAATTTAATTTTGGATCTCTCTTCTCATTGGGTCCTAACAAAAAAAAAAAAAAAAAAACTATTGTTCCTGCGTTATTCAACAAAGGTTATATATACCCAAAGTAGTAGAGTTTGGATGTTTATGATCATCAAGATGTTAAACAACAAGTTTATGATCGAACAAGCATTATTAATATACCTATATATAAGCCAAATAAAATTGAGTGAAAAGGATGAAATAATAATACACTTAGCCGATAGGTGTTGTTTTTTTGATAGTTAAAAGATAAGCTACACAAGCCTTGGGGTAGCTCTTCCCCTTACATCCGAATCACAAATGAAAATAAAATCACTAAAACTAAGACCCCTATCACCCCCTGCTGAAAAGAGCTTTATGAGCTAATCAGTTTGTCGATTGATTTGCTTCCTAATACGCATGCTTGAATTTGATATTTAAATTCAAAAAGTCCACTAGGTTTCAGCGTTCTTTGATGACACTTTCCAATCTCCACAGAGGCACAAGTCTACCATTGAGGAAGTCGTTAACTAGCTTACCTTCAATGACGATTTTCTGATCCCTATAGTTGATAGCCATATTAATGGCTTCCCAAGCTGCCCAAGCTTCAGCAAGATTGATAGTCAAAATTCCAATTCCAGTAGGTTTAGATTCTAGGACTTAACTTTATGTTTCCTAGCTATGCAACCAATTGCACATTTGCCACCATTCAAGCAAGATTTGTCAAAGTTAATCTTGATGCAGTTGTGTTTGGGCCTGAGTCACTCAATGTGGGTTACCATTTTTCTGTTATTATTAACCAAACAAGAGGATATCTCTTTAGTCTCATTCCAGTAGGCCAAGACTATTAATGATGGTCTCCACATCACAAGTACAACCATTAAAACATTTACTATTTCTGTTCTTCCAAATGAACAAAGAGACAGAAGCAAATTTTTCTCTAATGAAGTAGTCTTTGAAGATACCACTAGATTTACATAAATTATTCCACCACATGTCCATTGAGATAGAAGAGCTCACAAGAATTGGCAGTTCCCTCCAAAGGAAACTCCAAACTTGCTTAGCCACACTACATTAATAAAAAAGTGGTCAATATTTTCAACTTCCCCACAAAAGACACATGTAGGACCCAACCCAAAATCCCTATAAATGAGGTTTTTTGTAGGAAGTCTATTATTAAGTAAAAAGAATAGGAAAATTTTAATTTTTAGCAGAAGCATGAGATTCAAAAAAAATTTCTAATAGTCAGAAATAGAATCCGCACCACCATTAAATCGACTTTCCTCCCCATAGGCCGATTTAAAAGAGAAGTTCCCATCCGGGGTGAACTTCCAAACTCTTTTATCTTTAGAATCCTCATGGGGAATAAGGATAGGTTTTATCAATTTCCAAATCTACTGGTTGGCAAGTGACAGAATGCTATCCTCATTCCATATTCTTCTTTCAAAATCGATTACCCTACAAATAGTCATATTCACATCAGTAGGAACACTACTGTCCCTCAATTCTATTAATAGGTCTTTTCCATCCCATGAATCTAACAAAAAATTCACACTTCTACCATTGCCAATCCTCCACATAGAGCCCCTTCTAATAAGATTTCTTGAACCCATAATACCTCTCTAGGCTCAAGACCAACTTTTCTTCTTATTTGCATCCCAGAAATTACTATTTCTAAGATATTTATTATTTACAACCTTGACCAAAAGATTATCATGACAATTTAAAATTTTCCACCCTATTTTAGCGAGAAGAGTTTTATTAAGCCATCTGAAGTTCTTTGCACCTAATCCACCCCACATTTTGGGAGTATAAACCCTATTCCACTTAACAAGATGAATGGGGTTTTGACAACTCTCTTTTGCCTAAAGGAAATCCCTTCTGTTTTTATCTAAATCAGCAACAATAATATTTGAGATTTTAAACGATTGCATAACAAATTGTGTAACCATGAAAGCAGAAGCATTAATTAAAGTTAACCTCCCAACAAGTGATAGAGAATATTTTTTCCAACCCGCAACTTTATTAGACATTTTCCCATTCAAATATTTAAAAGTATCCTTGGATACTTAGCCAATAGGTGTTAAACACATAACAACTCTGATCTTTAAAGTCTTATTTGGTTAAAAGAATGGTGAAACCCATTATAGGTCTTGTTAAATGTAAATAAACAAAAAGAGAAAATAAATAGGTGAGCAAACATATCGAAAATGCCTTTTTGTTTTACTTTTTCGAAGGCCCATAGGCTAATTATTCATTCATCAATCTTGATAAAAAGAGTTAGCTACAATAATAGTAGCGAGAAAGTCAGGGATTACAGATAAAGCAACTATTTAAAGTGAGTCCATTCTTTTGCTGCATAGTGAGCTGCACCATTAATTTGCTTTCCCAGGAACATATATTATCTGACCAAGAAAGAAGGATTGTGGAGAAGAATACTTCTGTAATCTGTGTAATCTGAGACTACAGTGTGAAGTCTCCACGATGGGATACCAGAACCAGCCAACAGAATATTGACTATTTGTAGAGCATCATCCTCAAAAATAACTGCGAAAATTGCATGTCTAAGGCACGGATAGGCCATGGTAGAAAGTTGTTTGCTCGGCTAGATTAGGTTCTCACACAGAGAGCTAGGGGAAGCATGAGCAAACAAGAAAGATCCGATATGATCTCTGACCACAAACTCGGCCGACAGAAGCTGTTGTAGCACTAACGGCCGCATCAACATTAATTTTTACGGAGAAGTACGGATACATCCAATGCAGAAATTTGATTCTCACTACACAGCTATAAATATTCAAAACGACCAAAAAACACACCTTATGTACTCATACCCGTTCATGAATTAACATCAATTCCGAACTGGCACCTACCTCATATGTACTTTAAACCTACAAATTTTGGCACTAGGAGTATCAGCCATTCCCCCTTTTTAAGGAAAAGTACAGTTACACCCAATAGGGGGTTTTTTCCGGTGCACCATCTAAGGACTAGGGGTAGCAGTCTTGATAGGATGCTGGTCATTGCTATTTAGAGCAAAGATATGGGCATGGGCCAAGGTAATGATCTTATGTTGATCAAAATGAGCTCCCTCAAAAATCATGGCATTACTAGCTAATCAGATTTGCCTCATAATAATTGCTCCCATAAATAAGCATTTAGGAATGGCAAAGGGACGAGTTCGCGGTGGGGATCATATTCCCTGTTCCTACCTCCGATTTTGAAGTTAACCTCTATCCTCATTTTCGATCTCTATTAGGGATAAAATTTGTCTTCTACCCCCGATATAAATTCCCCACGGGGACCCATATCCCTGCAATTTTTTAAATAACATAATTTGTTTTGATAAATAAATTACTTAAAATAAATAAAAATTTTAAATTGAGGAAAATTATCATCCCTAAAGCATCCCTTCTCATTATCATTTGCAGGTACGTCGAGCTTACACCAATGATGGACAAACTCAGATACTTTTGTGGACTGAATTTCCAGTGGTTTGAACTAGAGCCAATAGCTAAACCACACAGGCTGGACTCTTGGGCAAAGAAAAAGACAATGGATGTTTGTTTCTTCGACGCCACTATAGACTAATCTCTCTTGGAGTGGAAAGAACCTGCATATACTATTTCTTGTTGGAAAAATATTAAGAAGACTCTTCCGCACATACAATTTGTTGACTTGAAGTAGGAGTTTTAACCTCTAGAGTTGATTCCACTTTATCTCAGCATACAAAAAACCAACGGAGGACCCACTAAGGACGTCCTTGTTTGAGAGGAGTCTTCTAATTGAGGATGTAGTTAGATTTCCCCGTTTTGTATAGGTCTACACCAGTCTATGTTGAGCCATAGTGCTGTGAGGCCTAGGGAGTGAAATATTGCAAATTTTACTTAGAGAGTTGAACCATATATCTATGAACTGTTGGAGTCTATCTATATGCCAAACACCATCATCAGGAGTTCAGGATCAATGAAATTGGCTTCCTTACCTGGGTACGAGGGATGGTTTCCTATGCCACTTAAAAATAAGTCATGTTTACACCAYAGGTCATGGAGGAAATCAACATGCCATCCTCCCTTTCTCAATTTATCTCTGCACTTCAACATCCTACCCAAGGATAGGAAGAGTGATTTCATATTAAAATTCCCAATATTGGCACTCTGTAAATAGTTTTCTTCAGGGATCTTTGACCAGAGAGAATAGTAATGAATCTTCATAGCAGTTTCGAAATGAGGGCCAGATTTCTAACTTCAACACGACAAAACCCAAGCCCACCATTATCCTTCAGAGTTGCAATTTTATACCACGTCCTAGAGTGAAGTCTTTTATTTTCGTCTGATTGTCACCATCAGAAATTACAACAAGTGGAGTCAAGTTTTTGGCAAATCTCTTTCAGGAGTAGAAAATATTGCATATGGTAGGTGGGTATAGACTCTAGAGTTGATTTGATTAGAACCGATCTTCCCATTTGTGATGGAAAATTCATTTTCCACCCACCGAATTTTCTTCTAACCCGTTCAATTAACTCATTCCAGTTATGGCATTTAGATTTACCAAAGAACATGGGACTTCCAAGGTACTTCTCAATTAGAGGCATCAATTTTATGCCTAGGGTTGAGGCTTTGGTGTAGATTCTTGCTGAAAGAGAATGCTGATTTTTGATAATTAATAATTTGCCCCGAGAATTTCTTGAAAAGGTCAATGGGCTTTGATTCCATTGTAATCTCTTGATTTGAACACCTTCCAAACAAATGCATGTAATCAACAAAAAATAGGTGATTGAATTTCACTTCTGTGCAATCAAATCATATACCTCCCAATTGTCCCATATTTATGGGACTGAGTAAGT